CATTTGTTACTTAACTAGGTCCTTTCCTTAGTCTGTAAACACATCTAAATATCTTGTTCGGTAGCTCCCACCCAGGCCTTTCTTCCTGTTTGCAGTTCCCCATCCCTCAGCATAGTGTCATATGTGCTGCCTCTCCCACCCCGCTCCCCACCACAGTGGAGTGTATCTACTACTGAGCCACAGTTTAGTCTCTGCCGACTCTGAAAGAATCTGTACTTGGATCCATTTATATCTGTTTACTTCATTGCAGTCTGGATTTGTCCTTCAGCACTCTTAATTAAATCTACTTTCAGTTCTAATCATTATATGACATTTAAACAGGTAAATACCCATATCTTGAAACTTCCTCTTTTCTCTGTTTGTATGACCCTGTTCTCTTTGTTTTGTTAAGGTCATGACCATTCATTCTCAGTTTCTTTTTTATGGATTATCTTTTTCCTATTCTTGAAAGGTTGGTTTTCCTTAGATTCCATCCTTGATTTTGCAATTTTACATATCCATTCTCAGTGGTCTTATCCATATCACACATCTCTTCTATAGTTGTTAATGATTATTCTTGAATCTACAGTTCCATCCAGAACTTTCTTGGAAGGTTTTTATCAACTACTTGTAAGCCCATAAGAATCTTAAATTCATCATATTTGAAAGTTGAACTCATTGTCTTACTGGTAAGACTGATAAAATTCTTGTATTTCCTAACCTATTAAATGGTACCGATGTTCAACCAGTCACTTAAGTCAAAAACCAAAGACTAGTAATGTATCTTTTCTCTCAATCTTGACAGTTATTTGCCCTTCAGCTTCCAGAGTCTTAACCTTAAATGTCTCTTCAGTCTGTCTCTCCTTATGCTCCCATTTCATAAGGCTTGTCAGTCAGATCCTTATCATTTCACACATTAACTACTGGAATGGTTTCTTTGCCTTTATTGTTGTTCTCTCCATTCTGGCTTTTTGTAAAGCCTGATAATTTTTATTTCCATGCTTAAAATTCCTCAGTATTCTTCCATTATTTATAATGATCTCTATAGTATGGTGCTCAGGTTTCTTCAAGATTTGGACCCTCTCAGTCTCTCCAGTTGCATTAGGTATTACTGTCTTATTATATATACCCCATGCTCTAGCCATTCTGATTTATTTATAGTTTGCCATATGTGCTTTTAAAATTTTTTAAAATTTTAATCCATATGTGATTTTTGATTCATACATTTACCTTTGTGAAGATAGTTCCTACTGTCTGCAACTCCTTTATATCCTTGTATATTGAGGGTTTTTTAGTAAAACGATTTTTATTCAAATTACTCATGATCATTATCATTTTCTATTTTTTATGGATATAGGAATTAATCATTTGGCTCTTTGTTGATAGTGGTTTTCAAATTTGCTTTTAAGTAACAAAAATCTTTTTGAAAGAAATCTTTCCTTTTTTTATTTTTTTGAAATCTTTCCTTAATATAGAAATGAGATGAGAGTGACATTGTGTTGTTCTTTTTTTTTTTTGAAAGTACTGGGGATTGAACTCAGGAGCACTTGACCATTGAGCCACATCCCCAGCCCTACTTTATATTTTATTTAGAGACAGAGACATCACTGAGTTGCTTAGTGCATCACTTTTGCTAAGGCTGGCTTTGAACTTTTCGATCCTACTGCTTCAGTCTTGGAAGCTGCTGGGATTATAGGTGCGTGCCACACTAAGCCTGGTTTATTGCTCTTTTTTTTTTTTTCTTAAATATATTTTTTAGTTGTCAATGGATCTATTTTATTTATTTATATGGGGTGCTGAGAATCGAACTCAGTGCCACAACACCAGTGCATTTTTAAATATATCAAATGTATAACTTTTTGTTTTCTTTTGTCCATACTGGGGATTTAACCCAGGGTTGCTTTGCTACTGAGCTACATTCTCAGCCCTTTCTATTTTGTAAGACAGTGTCTTATTAAGTTGCTGAGGCTAGTCTTAAATTTGTGATCTTCTTACATCAACCTTCCAAATACCTGGGATTATAGGCATGGATCACTGTGCCTGGCCAAGTTTATTATATTTATTTTTTGGTAAGGTCAGTTACTGAGAACAAGGGCATATTGATAAATACTAACATTTGGATTATGTTATTAATGCCAGTTGCAGACTAGAACCAGCATCAAGTTAAAAAAAAAATGACGACATATTGAGATACCATTTATATATATTAAATTGCATTTTTAAAAAATGTCCAATTTGATGAGTTGATGGATACAAGATGCTGATGAAACCACAGTCATGATTCATAGTGTTTGCATTTCATTCTTCTTTGTGTCCATTCTCTCTTCTCTCTTGGTTTAGATTAGGCAGTCATTTTCTGTTTTCTGTCATTATAGGCTAGTTCACATTTTCTAGAATTTTTTTGGAAATGAAATTATATATGTACTTGTTATCTGGCTTCTTTCACTTAGCATAGTGGTTTTGAAATCATCTTTGTTGTATTTAATTAATAGTTTTCTTTTTTGTATCTACCTAAGTATTCATTGTATGAATATATATTTTGCTGATAAAGGGGCATTTGAGATGTTGGCAGTTTTTGGCCATTGTCAATAAGATTACTCTGAACATTTGCCTTTGTGTTACTGTGCACTTTATGTACAAATCTTTACATGGACATTTTATTTTTCTTCATTAAATAGGATTAGAATGTGCAGGTCACTTGTTATAGGTGTGTGTTTAACTGTTTGGTAATTGCCGAATTGTTTTCCAAAGTGATTTTGCCATTTTACATTTTCATTAACAGTGTATGAGGGTTTCAATTTCTCTGCATCTTCACAGACATTTTATGTGGTCAGTCTTTTTAATTTTAGCAGTTCTAATGAGTGTATGGTAAGGTCTCATTATACCTTTAATTTGCATTTTTCTGGTAGTTAATCATGTATATTTTTGTCTTGCATGTTTTTTTTCCTATAAAAAGTGAATATTCAAATCTTTTGCCTAGATTTAAAAAAATTATGTTGTCTTAATTAACAAGCAATAGAGAACTGTAAGAGTTCTTATTCTTTTTTTTTTTTTTTCCTTTTCCTTTTATGTTATTGGGGATTGAATCCAGGGCCTTATGCATGCTGGGCAATGCATGCTAAGCAATTGCTCTACCACTGAGCTTCACCCCCAGCCCTGTAAATGTTCTTTATGTATTCTTTTCCAGTTATATGTATTGAAAATATTTCTGGGGCTGATTTCTTTTCAAGTATTTTTTAGTTGTCAGTGGACCTTTATTTTATTTTTATGCAGTGCTAAGAATCGAACCCAGTACCTCACATTTGCCAAACAAGCACTCTACCACTGAGCCACAACCTCAGCCCCTGGGCTGTTGTTTTTATTTTCTTAATGGCATCTTTTCTTTTCCCTCCCGCCCTCCCGCCTTCCCCCTTCTTTCTCTCCTTCCTTCCCTCCGTTGCTCCCTTGTTTCCTCCTTTTTTTGAGTATCTCTGAATAGTTTCTTTTGCACTTAGAGCTGTTCTAGGCTAGAAAAATACAGAATGCTTCATGAATTTGCATGTCATCCTTGCTCAGGATTCATGCTAATCTTCTTTGTATCATTTCAATTTTAGTGTTTGTGCTGTTGAAGCAAGCCCTATGGTATCTTTCAAGGAGCAAAATTTATTGTTTTGAAATAACCTAATTTATCATTACTTCGTATTATTTCACACTTTAAAAAATGTTTTGTTGAAGAAATCTTTTCTAAGATGGTGAAGATTTTTCTTCTGGAAGTTTAGTAATTTTAGCTAGTTTATTTCTATATTTGAGCTTGATTGCATTCTAAGATGAACTGTGTATGCAGAGAAAAAAATTTTTTTACATGTACAAAGGAGGAGTAAATTTAATGGAGAAGAGTACAAATTTGGGTGGGAGGTAAAATTTACTCTTAAGGGAGTGTTCACTTTATTTATGGATTCCATTTGTTATTTATTTCCATAGAAATACTATTAATATACAGTGTATATAATTTGTATCTGTGAAACGAAATTCATTCTTTTATTAAAATGAGAAAAGATGAAAAGTAATAGTAAACTATTTAACTTTTCTCACTAAAATTTAAATTTCTGCCTAATAGAAAACTAAGGTTAACAAAGATCAAAGGAGAAAGTTTACCTTTTTTTGAAGACCATTAAAAAAAAAAAAAAGAAATATCTTAAACAATTAACCAACCAACCAAACAAAAAAGCCAGATATTACAGGAAAAACTTTATTTTGAGATCTTCAAGGGTCATTTAACCTGGCAGCAATTTTTTCACGTTAGTAATATCCACCAAACTATTATATAAGTAGTTAAAATAATTTTGAATATGTCCTAAAATATGATTTCAGAAAATCAAGTTTCCTTTTCACCCTAGGTTTCTTTCTTCTAAAAATTTACTTTCAAAGTAAATTTTTAGAAAGAAAAATTTTCTTTCTTCTAAAAATTTACTTTGGCTTCTAGAGAACTTCAGGCTAGTTTTATTTTTATTATACTATATCTTCATCAGTTAATTATTTTCTGTGTCACTTTGAATGATTACTAGTATCAACCTTCAGATGAGTTTATATTTCCATTAGTTTCTTGGTTTTGCTCTAGTTTCTGGATTTAAAAAAAAATACATTATTTCTATCTTTCATATGCTTATCATTGATTATAAGGGCTGGAAATTTTTTTCCAGAATATGTGGGATAGAGGTTTCTTATGTGTGTTTGTGTGAGTCCTTTTGAATTTGAAAATAACTCCTTATATAAGATACTTTATACTTATACCCTAGAGACAATTTTAAACCAGTAAACCAATATATTACATTTAAACTTCTAGCCTATGCTGTAAATTAGATTCTAAGCAACTTGAACTGAAAAGTTACTAAATTATAAGAGAATGTATTTCAAGCTTTTTAAATGTACAGTGTAATTTTATAAAATAACTGAATTGTTTTGATGGCAGTTTGGAATTTTAAAGCAAAATGTAGCCTCTGCTGTGATTTATTAAATTTTAACCAAGTTAATTTATTTTGTAGGTGTTCATTGTACCCATGGTTTCAATCGCACTGGTTTCCTCATATGTGCCTTTTTGGTGGAGAAGATGGATTGGAGGTATTTATATCTTGTTATAATTGATAAGAATCTTTATTGATATTTTAGTTGTAGCATATTATATTGCCAAGTTTTTTGAGCTCATGATTAATATAATTTGAAAGGTTTTTCATTTTGAATATGGTTAATCTTTAGATTAACCTGCTTGTTTTGTATTAAGTGGCACATTAGTTGAGTGATTACAAATCCCATAAATTATGTATTTACAGCTCCATGTTTTTTTTCTCATAGAATTATCAGAGACAAATTTTTTTCAATATTTTGTGTTCATATTCAGCTTTGGAAATTGCTGTTGTTATGTCCCTTCTAAATAGTGTCTTTTGTATAGCTGTTAAGTACTAGGAACAAATTATAATATTATGTGAAGGAAATCTTTTTGGAATAGGATTTCATTTAAACCACTCAGTACATCCTTATTGAGGAGCATCATTTGTTTGTGTCATATATTTTTTAGAGAAACATATTTTAGAGAGATTAGAACATTAGTTACCTAAAATTTCAAAGAGAATAAGATATTACTAATTGAGTTTTCTCATTGACTGATTGTCATTATTTATGTTTACAAAGCCTTTTACATAGTAGGTCCTTTTTTGAATATAATCAGCCAAAGTACACATCTCATTGTGCTTATTCCATTTTATACATCCTCCTGTGCTTTCTGGCCATTGAGAAACTATATACAGTAACCCCAGACTTTTAGGCCATACTTAGCCCATGCGTACCTTTCTCTCATGACCTGCATTCTCAGTGCCTGGGTCTTTCAGAAATTCCTGAAAAACAACATGTTTTATTTTTGTTCACATTATTATACAATTGTTGACTGCTGTTAGAGTTAAGACTTTAACCTTTAAAAATTTATTGAAATTCTTCAGTGACTTTACCCACATCTTTTTTTTTTAATTATTTTTTAGTTGTATTTGGATGCAATACCTTTATTTATTTTTATGTGGTGCTGAGGATCGAACCAGGGCCTCGCATATGTTAGGCGAGTGCTCTACCTCTGAGCTACAACTCCAGACATCTTACTCACATCTTTAATATGTGCTTATAGAAATGCACTTTTAGAATTGAGGAATTGTCAGTATGCCTTATATTAAAACTATTTCAGAATGAATTTATCCCTTAATGCTTGAATGCTTAGAGGGTAAAGACTATAGTTTATCCATTTTATAAACCTCTATTATCCTTTGTGATGTCTTGAATATAAGTAAGTTTTGATAAGTCTGAACAAATGGAGAATAGTGAGGACATTGCATGGCGTTTGTTTTCCATAGTATTGAAGCAGCAGTTGCTACTTTTGCCCAAGCCAGACCACCAGGAATTTATAAGGGTGATTATTTGAAGGAACTTTTTCGTCGCTATGGTGATATAGAGGAAGCACCACCACCACCTTTATTGCCAGATTGGTGTTTTGAGGATGATGAAGATGAAGATGAAGATGAGGATGGAAAAAAGGAATCAGAACCTGGGTCAAGTGCTTCCTTTGGCAAGAGGAGAAAAGAACGGTTAAAATTGGTAATGTTTAAAATCTTATATTCTTTTTTTTTTTTTTAAAGCTTAATGAATTTAATCAATCAGTTTTTCTTTTTTTTTATTGGTTATTCAAAACATTACAAAACTCTTGACATATCATTTTTCATACATTCGATTCAAGTGGGTTATGAACTCCCATTTTTACCCCAAATACAGATTGCAGAATCACATCAATTACACATCCACATTTTTACATAATGCCATATTAGTAACTGTTGTATTCTGCTACCTTTCCCATCCTCTACCATCCCCCCTCCCCTCCCCTCCCCTCCCATCTTCACTCTCTACCCCATCTGTTGTAATTTAATTCTTTCTCTTGTTTTTTTTTTTTCCCTTCCCCCTCAAATTCTCTTATGTAATTTTGTATATCAATGAGGGTCTCCTTCCATTTCCATGCAATTTCCCTTTTCTCTCCCTTTCCCTCCCACCTCATGTCTTTGTTTAAAGTTGATCTTTTCCTCCTGCTCTTCCTCCCTGCTCTGTTCTTAGTTGTTCTCATTATAAAAATCTTATATTCTTAACCTTCTTATAAACTTTTTGAGATTTAGGAAAAATGGCATGGTAGCCATATTTCTTCAGATAGGTTTGTATCTGAAAGTTTCTAAAGGTTTTTAATAGCTACGAGTATGCCTTCTAAGAGAAAAATTGCAGTTATGAAAATTCATCCTATTTATATTTCTTAGGTAAACCAAAGAAATCTTAGATACTAAAATAAAAATTTACTATTTTTTTAATAAAGTGCTATGACATTCCAACCAAATATTTAGCAAGAATCTTTACTAATGCTTTAAAGTTGTTACATAGTTAAAATTCTTTTACATATGGGATTACAGATGTCCCCCTCTATGCCCAGCTGTCAGATAATGAAGGTGTGGATCTCCTATAGGATCTTTGTTAGTTTTTCTTTTTGTGTCCTTTTGATTACTTGCCAATTGTAATTTTTTTCATACTTAGTATTTTTGATTGAATTATTAGATATTATTTTTGAGAAACTATGGGCATAATTTGAGGTTCTGATTTTCTTTCAGAGAGGATTTATTTTTGTTCCTATAAGGATTAAGAGCAGAGAGCATTGACTTAATCAGGGATTGAACTCTTTAGACATTAGTTGAGAGGTAATCTGTTAACAGTGCTTCTGGAGAAAAATCCTAGAGAGGAAAAATCATGTTGAGGTCTGACTTACTTCTTTGGTTTTTCTTCCATTTGAGTTCTTGACCCTTCAGGTCCTTACTGCCTTTAATTCTTTTATATCTTCAGGCATTTTTAGTGTGTTGTCCAGCCTCTCTTGTACCTGCAAAATTAGTCTGTATACTGGCTTGCCATTGTCAAAGCACACATCTTTCTTCCATTTTGGAGAATGCAATTAAGTTTGGTTTGATGGTGAGTAATGGTAAATTTTTTTTGGTACCAGTGATTGAACTTGGGGTACCAGACCACTGAATCACATCCCCAGCCCTATTTAGTATTTTATTTAGAGACAGAGTTTCACTGAGTTGCTTAGCATCCCACATTTGCTGAGTCTGGCTTTGAATTTGCGATCCTACTGCCTCAGCCTCCTGAGTCGCTGGATTACAGGCTTTGCAACCTCACCTGGCATGGAATGATATATTTTTTTTTAAATTTTTTTGGAATTGTAGATGGACAGCATGCCTTTATTTTATTTATTTTTTGTCTGCAGTGCTAAGGATCAAACCCAGTGCCTCACACATGCTAGGCAAGCACTTTGCCACTGAGCCCTAGCATCAGCCCTGGGAATGATAATTTTTGACAGTGTTTGTGCTTATACTTCCAGAAGCAGAGTTACGAAAAAATTCTATAGCTTTATGTAGCGTTATGATTTATTTCCCCCCTCATTTCAAGCCATAATTTGTAAATATTAGAATTATTTGCTTTTACTTCAAAAGCAATATAGTTATATTAAAGAAAGTTTAAAAACTAAAAAACTTACTATCCTTCAACCTTTATATTAACAACTAGCATTTTTATTGAAGAATTTCCCCATTTATTTAATTTTAAAATACAAATGACATGAGGATAAGCTCTATTTGAAAATAAAAATTCAAATATCTAGTAGTATGTAGAGTTAAAAATTACTCTCTGCTCTTGGTTATCCTTCTATACTAATTTTTCTGTGCATTTGTATATGTATTCTCTTTTGGATCTCCCTCTTTCCTCTCTTTAACATAAATGTATTTGAGCTTCATTTTTTACTGGGGTCTTACTGTTTGCTCCTCCTCCTCCTTCTTCCTTTCTCCTCTTCATACAGAACTAGACTATTCTTTGTAGTTAACACCAGAGGAAAACTCAGTGATAAAGCAAACAATGTCAGTTCATAAAATAATGCAGACTATTAGAAGGTAGGTAGACTGCATAGCAAAATGAAATTGGCTGAAGAGGAAATGATTAAACTGGAGGATCTAACTAAGAAATTCTTCTAGGGTCAGATGTAGTAGTGCACACCTATAATCCAGCATCTCTGGAGGCTGATAAAAAGTGTACTGTAAGTTTGAGGCCAACCTCAGCAATTTATTGAGACCTTGTTTCAAAATAAAAATGGGGGAATGTGGCTCAGTGGTAAAGTGCCCCTGGGTTCAATCTCCAGTAACCGCCCCATCTCCTAAAGAAAAATTTTCCAGGATGCAGCACAAAAGGACAAAGAAATGTCAAATATGAAAAATAGTTTGGAGTTAAAATATCTATAATGAATTAAAAATAATTATGTAGTGAGTGATTTAACAGTATGAAATGTCACAAGGAAGACAAATTAAAATAAGGATAGAAAATATCTGAGGATTATTTTTTGTGATTTTAGCTGGGTCAGAGTAGTGATTTTACGAAGCTAATAAATGGAGAGTAAGAAAGTGGAGACAGTTGTGTTGATGTCCTTAGTACTACCCCACTTTTGGGGATTTGCTAGGAATGAAGGAACCTATTATTGTTGTACTCATAGCTTAGATTTATTACAGTAATGTACTGAAGATACACAGTGGAATCATTAGGAACAAAGACAAGTGCAGTCTGAAGGAGTCTATGTGCTGGCTTTCTTACACTGTTTCCTTCCCATGAAGAATTATTTCAAGCTTACTCTTTCTGTAGCTGTGTGTGTGTGTGTGTGTGTGTGAGAGAGAGAGAGAGAGAGAGAGAGAGAGAGAGAGAGAGAGAGAGAAGAGAGAGGGAGGGAGGGAGGGAGGAAAGAGGGAGGGAGGGAGATACGTTTCTCTCCTGGGATTTTAAAAATGTTCAGTGACTAGGGTTTTTTTGACGTCTTGGTTGTTTCAGCAGGTACCAAAATGCCAGGATCTCAGAAGGAAAGCATTTGTTTAGCATAAACTGTATTGTTGACATAAATAATCTTAGCATGGTTAACCCTTGTTAGTTAACTGAGAACACTGAAAGTTAGATTCCTATAGGGGCCAATTTTGCTAGCAAGTCCTGTTAAATCTTTTCTGCACATTTGTATTGACTATTCATTCAAATGCCTTTGTTATGATAAAAAAGACAGGATAAAGGTGATTGCTTGATACATAGTCAGAAAAGACTTTTTAGTATGGTATAAACTCAAACATTTTTGTAAGTTGAGGATAAGGAGCTAGTGGAGTGAATGAAATTGAAAATAAAGGTTGGGGAATGAGTGATGGAGAAAGCTCTGAGGAGATGAAATTGAAAGGAGGTCAAGAGAAGACAGAGAAATAGATGTTCAGCAAGATCTCAGCACTAAGGCAACTGAGATTGTGATTTTTTTTTCCCCTTGGTAAGTTTTAGCTACCTATATTCATGAGTGGAGAAGACTAATGAGAGGTTGACTTATGATTGGGGCTTTTTAATAAGGGTTTGCTCCAAGCCTAAGAGGTACTGAGGATATAGGAACAGGGAATAGTTGAAACAGGTGTAGGTGCTAGACTGGATAGGAAGTAATTCTAGGTAGGGGGGACTGTAGATTGGGAAATGGGAGGAATGAAAGGATTGTTAGTTTTTGCAATTGAAAAGTTGGGAGAAAGATGAACTACATGCATTTGATTTTTCTTTACTGTCACAACCTGAAATAGTAATTTATTGAAAAGTGAAAATAAATGTCAGTGATTTTTTTTTTTTTTTTTAATATTTTTTAGTTTTCGGCGGACACAACATCTTTGTTTGTATGTGGTGCTGAGGATCAAACCTGGGCCGCACGCATGCCAGGCGAGCGGGCTACCACTTGAGCCACATCCCCAGCCCCAAATGTCAGTGATTTTAAAGTTTAATTATAGAGTAAAAGAATTAAGCTACATAATGTAGGAAGTCAAAGAAAGGCATGTTAATTTTGGAGTGTTGCAGGCATTCAATGTTAGTTGAGTTGAATCAAAAGATAGAGGTGATCTAGAATGATCATACTTTGGTTTTGAAGTGAGTTCAATTGGCCAAAAAATGGAGGCCATTGACAATGAATTTACTAAACTAAGCTGGGTTATTTGATGTGTCAAGCTATCTCAGTGGATGTTGATGTTACTAGTGTAATCATAGAAGTTAGAATGGGGAGAAACATCAACTACATGAATGTGGGGCAATATTCTTTAATATATAGATGGTTTTATTAGTTCAGACTCGGGAGAGGGGTAGAAGAAACTAACTCAAATTAGCTTGAATAATAAGGCAGATTTATCAAGAGTAAATGGGTAGAACTCAAGCATAGAAATATAGTCAGAAATTAGTATAATACTGTGGTCTAGATCTGGAAAGTTATTGTTATGGTGTGGATATAGAATGTCTCCCAAAGTCTCATGTCCTTGAAGACTTGGTTCCCAATGCAGCAGTGTCCAGAGGTGAGGCTTTGAGGAAATAGCCCTCTTTAGGGAGAGCTAGGTTTTGGTTCAGATATAGGCTGTAGGTGTTCAACAAGAAAATTGATGGGGAAAGTTATTTATGAAAAAGGAATTTCAGGATTTACATGGAAATTTTTAGGGAAGGTGATAAGTGGTTAGATAAAGCAAGGAGGGGGATCTAAAGCAGTGAGGACAAAACCATCAAAAATAAAAGAAGGGGGCTAGAGTTGTGGCTCAGTGGTAGAGTGATTGCCTAGCATGTGTGAGGCACTGGGTTCCATCCTCAGCATCACATTAAAAGATACATGAAGTAAAGGCATTGTGTTTATATACAACTAAAAAAAGGAAAGGTGACTGGAGGGTTGAATTGTAGGTGATGTCAACAGTAGTTGACATGGTTGACAGCAATGAGAAGCATAATGTAATTAATTGGCAAATAATTCATGGTTGGAAAAGCTTTCATTTACATTTTATTTCCATCTGAGGTTGGAGATAATTAATACAGGCGAGCCAAGACTGATTAATTATTTTATAGTTAACATCTCTTGACATAATGATGTTATTTTGGTTTGAGACTTTATTTTTTGTTAAAAAATGTTCTCTTTTTTTAATTCTTAAGTTGATACTATGATTTGAAGTAATGGAATTCTTACAGTGATTTCTGGGATTTATAACAGTGATGCTTGTGCTATGTTTGGTCTTGTATTACTAAGATTCCTGTTTATCTTTTGAACATATGCCATTATTGAATTGCAAGAATATAACATAAAATTATTGTTTACTCCTTTGAACTTATGTCTGAGATCATTTCTTTGAATAAAACCATTAAGGTATTTTCCTCATTTGTAAAATGTGCTTACTATATATACATACTTGTACACACATACATATACATATGTGCACATACATACACAGATGTCTCTCACATATAAATTACCCTCATCTTATATAATAAATTCCTGAATTTCCCCATGAAAGGATTATTCATTTCTTTTTGTCTTGCTTTTGGTAATCTTACAAGTTTTCATTTTAGGGCTGGTGGACACTATTTATGAAATAACTTCTTTCATTTTAAGGATACATAATTTTTTTGCATTTGATTTTTCTTTACTGTCACAACCTGAAATAGTAATTTATTGAAAAATGAAAATAAATGTCAGTGATTTTAAAGTTTAATTATAGTATGTTAAAAAATAGTTCCTGATTTAAGACATTGCTGTTTATAATTTAGAATTAGTGATTTTCCTTGAAGTTATTACATATTGAATACTATAAAAATAATATTTTTTGTCAGAGGAAATTTTTATAATGATAAACAGGAAATTATGTGAACCTAAAGTTACTAAATATCATAGTGTATAAAATTCAGCATACTATTTTTTTTTTTTTAAAATATTTATTTATTTAGTTCTCTGCGGACACAACATCTTTATTTGTATGTAGTGCTGAGGATCGAACCCGGGCCGCACCCATGCCAGGCGAGCACGCTACCGCTTGAGCCACATCCCCAGCCCCTGCATACTATTTTTATTGGACTTAATTTGCCTTTCTTTTTACTTAATAATTATTACAAGAAGAAAATAGAGGAAGCTAAAAAAGAAGTTGAAGCATTGTAGGATAGATTAAGGAAGAAGTAAAATAAATGGATGACAGACATTTACTACATGGTTGGGGTTATTATTTTTATAATTAAACTCAGTAGTTAAATCTATACTAATTCTTAGTACTTATTGGCTTTGTTAAATTAAAAATATTGAATTTGTTCATCTGCATAGACTTAGTGAATTTACTTGGAATATTTTGGGCAAGCACCACTTTGTTTAATATTTAATCCTTTTACCTACCTGTTAGTCCTTTTAATTGTTTGCTTAAAAAAAAAAAAGTAGTAGTGTTTGTGTTTTCAGGGCAAACTTGCTAATTTTCTAATGTCTAGTTATCTAAGGAAGATAAAACAGAAGATAGATAATGATGAAAAGTGACTTGGAATTAAGGACAGAAAGTAGGACCACTGTATGCTGACAAGGACTTGGACTCTGCTAGATTTGACATGGATGTATGTGGACAAATATTATATATATATATTTTCCCTTCCCAAGTGGATTGAGTTGCCAAGTCTTTGCCTGAAGGTTGATCTTTACAGCTTGTAGATCATACTTTTTATTGCTTAATTATATTAACAGCTAGTTTTTTTTTAAAATAAATTTTTCTTGAGATCAGTGCCAACCCCTGTATGGATCTGAAAGTAATTGTAGCATAAATCTAGACTATTTCTTTTTTTAAAAAATATTTTTATTTTTTAGTTGTAGTTGGACACAATACCTTTATTTTATTTATTTATTTTTATGTGGTGCTGAGGATTGAAGCCAGGGCCTTGTACGTGCTAGACGAGTGCTCTACTGCTGAGCTACAACCCCAGCCGTAGACTATTTTAGTCTTTAAAATTTCTGGGCGTGTTTTTTGATGTATAAATTCTCTATTTGCTTCACTTCTGTGATATTTCAAAAATATTGCTATGAGATAAAATATTATATGTATTTTAAGTTAAAGAACTTAGATTAAAAATTCAATAAATAATTAACTTTTATGTTGATTCATTAAAGACTGTGGCTTAGTCCCTTTGCCTCTACTGTTATACTCTTATTATAGTTTACAAAGATACAGATTTTGGGTGTTTACCTCCTTAAACTCCATTCCACCAGTTAATACCCTCCCTTCCCCTCCCCTGCCATCAGTGACTGGCATAAATGGTAGGCCTGGATTCAAATTTTGTCATTTATCTCCTTTTTATCTTTTTGAAAATTTTTATTTTTAAAGAGGTGGGGTCTTACTGAGTTGCCCAGGCTTGTTAGCTACTCCTGGGTTCAAGTGATCCTCCTGTGTCAACCTCCCAAGTAGCTGGGATTGCAGGATATACCACCATGTCAGGTATTATTTACTCCTTGAACAAATAAAATCTTTATACCTTGAACAAATGAAATCATTATACTTCATTTACTCATCTGTTAAGTAAATATGCCACTATTTTTCATAGTTGTTGAAAGGATTAGAGAAAGTGTAGAATACCACATACTCTGCTTGATTCTCAGTAAATAAGTTACTATTACTGTCATGATTACTGAGAATTGCTAATATGGCTTTTGCATTTACTGGGCTTGAGTATGTATGTTGAAAATAATGTTTGTTTAAGGAGAACTTGTATACATTCATGGGGGAATTTGTGAAGCTTCTTGGAGCAGACTATTTCTGCTTTATATATTGTTTTGCTTCAATTTGTGAATATAAACTGGTTTATCTCTTCTTTGTAAATGGATTGGATCTGTAATGAAATATTTTTCTTTCTTTTTTTTTTTTAAAGGGTGCCATTTTCTTGGAAGGTGTAACTGTTAGAGGCGTAACTCAAGTAACAACTCAACCAAAGTTAGGAGAAGTACAGCAGAAGTGTCATCAATTCTGTGGCTGGGAAGGGTAATAAGCATTTTAAAGTTCTAAATAAAATTTCTTACTCTGTAACATTTAAAGTTAATACAGACATTGACATAGCTTCTTTATTTCTTAAAGATGATATGTTTACATGAAATGCTAAAAAAAAACTGTCAGATTTTTTTCAAGGTAGTCAGTGTAATACCCAGACAATTGAGTCAAAATTAGATGTCTTGCTTATCTTCCTAAAGTAAGAGGAAGTTACTGTTGTCACTATGTATTACTTGTTTTATCATTTTGATTCTATTGGTGCTGATTTGAATGTTTGGGCTGGTCTTATCAATTTATTCAGGGAGAATAGGTAAAACTTGAATGTACCTCATTCTCTAGTTTTGTAATTAGAAACCTGGGAAGGTCAGTTTTAAATATGTTTTCCCTACTATGACTTGAAAATATTTATCAGACATTTCATGGGAGAGGACTCAGGAGAGAGTTTATTCCTCTCATCTGTTACTTTCAGATCTTGGTCTGTGGCAGAAAATTCTAGTATAGTTTGAACACTAGGAAACAAGGATTGTTATTTGTGAAAAGTTCCTAATATAATTTCCTAACATAATATAAATTCTTAACATAAAGACTTTTATTCCTGGCATGTATAGCTCTGATAAACTAGCTAGAAATAATTTTAGCTAAAGGGTGAAAATAATAAATAGCATTGGCCTTAATGTTGTGTTAAACCCTTGCCAATATACTCTAAGTTTTAGACCTATATTTCTTCTGTTTCTGTCACTTCTGGGCATCTTTGGAAGAGAAATTTGCCAACTCTGTAGAGTTTTGTCAAATTGGCAGTGTCATGATGGAGAAATATGGGGTCTAGGATAGTGTAAGGTAATTAAGTTACAATTTAAACTTTTTTCTGAAGTAAAAGACTTGTGAATGTACCTGTTTTGCCATTTTAATCATCCATACTAGTATTTTAGAGTTAGCTCAATAATTATAGAATAGCATTTTGAACCTTGTAAACTTGTGTTCTAAAATGTCATGACAATCTTTTTTTTTTAGTGTTTTTGTGAAAGGTGATATTGTTCTAGTTGAAACTGATTTCATGATAGGAAGAATATTTTGATAAATGTGTGACTCATTTGAGATTGGTTTAAGACATGCATTACTTTGAATGGTTATCAACCGTGATAGTAATAGAGTGTTCTTCTTTAAGGTCTGGATTCCCTGGAGCACAGCCTGTTTCCATGGACAAGCAAAATATTAAACTTTTAGAGCAGAAGCCATATAAAGTAAGCTGGAAAGCAGATGGTACTCGGTAAGTTAGATTTCTAAAAAAAATTTTACAAATAACTGTAATGCTGTAAGAATTTTAGTTTGTTTTTGGGTATGTTTGCAATTTTGGGAGTGTGAATTTCTGACTTGATAGCAAAATAAATATGTTTCAAAAAATTGTATAGTTTTTGTTTTGCTGGTATTCTAAGCTGTGTACTGTATTTGTCATTCTGATAAATTTTTGGTTTTAGTGTTCTCTTACTTTGACATAAATCTATTCCAGATGTTAAGTTTGAAATCATTTTCTGTTAATAATATGATTTTTGATATGTCTACTGCCTACTACACTGTTTTGTGGATATCATTTCTTTACTATCCTTTGGAAATTTGATTATTTGGAACTAGGCCGTAGAAGAAAAATCTGTATGGAAAATTCTGATGTAGGAGACAATAATATAGCAATAACATAGGAAAGGGATGTGGAGAGACTACTTGGTACAAGAAGGAATGTCTATTTAGAATAAGAGAGATAAGAGAAACCCAGTAGAAAGATTTGTCACTGAAGCTGAGGGAAAGTAAACTTTGACCAAAGAGGAGAGAGATCAACAGTGTTAAATCTTATATAGAACAGAAACATATATTGGATTTAGCAATAAAATCGTTTAGATTGGGTTGGGATGTTCTCAGTTCATGTTACTATTGAATAGGGTAATGGGAGTGAGTTGAAAGTAATTATCTTTCCTTTAAAGACTTCTTTTTTCCCTTTGGCTGTTGTTTAAAGAATGTTTCTCCTGAGGGAGATTTCCAGAAGAGCAAAGAGAACTTTCTTAAGTGGTATTGAAGCATCTTATTTCATCCAGAGACAGTTGTGTCAGGGCTTTGTATCTGCTAGCATATGCCTGTCTATACCTCCTAGCAGAATTCAGATGTGAGATAATCAGCTTAAGAATGTTGACTTGTGTACTTGGAATGAGAATGAAGCCAGACTTTTCTTATCAAATAGTGGGAATGATTTGGCTGATTGTTTTGATAGAACTGGTCAAATGGGTTTTACACAGCCATCATTTTCTGTAGATTAAATAAGCTAAAACCATGGCTTCAAAGTTTTCATGAAACTGTATTTTATGCATGTGATAAGAGAAAAACATTTTATTAAACTACATATAGTATTGGTGAAAGTATATTGAAATTTAATACTGTTTCCCGACTTCCATTTCTAAGCTAACCAAGATGCCTCTCAATGAAAGAATAACAGGTATAACTGATAGTTACTTTATAAGATTTGATGCCACCTTAATTGGATTTATCTTTAATTTTACTGGAAAACTCCTGTATAAACAAAGAAGGTTACTTCAAGGGAATTCATTGGCCTTTTGACCATTCCTAAAATACATTCAAGTTTTTTTTTTTTTTTTTTAAACTTGATTCTTCTTTCGTTTTTTTTCATGGCTCTACTTATTGAGTCCATTCTGTTTGAGTATAAATATAATACCAAAAGAAGTGATTAAAGGGTTCTATGGTTACAGTTGGAATTGAACTGTCTTATAATTGTGAAATACTCTTTTTTAAAGGCATTCTGGGAAAAGATAATTAGAATTTTATAATATAATTTTCTGTGCACTAAGTTTAGTAGTAGAATTTGCAATGCAATAAAAAGAAATTACCAGTCTTTAGTATAGTGGTGAAGACTTAGTACTTACATATAAATTTTAGAATTAATTTCTTCACATTTTATTCTTTCTGCTGAGATTAAATACTATAAATTTTAACTGTTTCTGAATTATTATGTAAAAACCAAATTATTATTTTTTATAGCTACTATGATAATGCAAATACTATGCTAAGAGATAACAGACTATTTGACATAGGAAAAATATAAGGCTATTAGATGAAGAAGAGCCTTGTAATGAACTGATAATTGATGAAAGCAAGCTCTGTGAGTTCTGGGACTTTTGTCTGTTTTTTTGGGTGGTGCTGGGGATCAAACCCAGGGCCTTGTGCATGCAAGGCAAGCACTCTACCAACTGAGCTATATCCCTGGCTTTTAAACCACCTTTTCCCCAGTACTAGTACCTGGCACTTACATGGCAGGCACTCAGCAAATATATATTGTATTAATAAGTAAAAAACTATATGTGTCTTCACATTAAGATAGAAGCACTTGTAGTAGTTGTATAGTTTTTGAGATTTAAAGAAACCATGATTTCATGTGAGTTAATTTGCAAAGAAAAATATAACCCTATCCTTTTATTTATTTATTTTTTGGTAAATCTTTTAGCATTAACTTAAAATAGAGCATATTTCAAGGAAAACGATATATACTAGGCCTAGATTTAAAGCCAGATAGACCCTAGAAAGCATTTGTTGTGTTTAGATTTGTATAGTATAGGGATGATAACCCTCGGAGTAATTACAAACAAATTCAGTGAAGTCATTTAAAGCACCTAGCATACAGATACTAAAAAATAGTTCTTAGTTTTTATGCGTGTACATGTACATCCATATATGTACTTTCTGACTAAGTTATATAGAACACACATATACAGACAAACCCTGCTTCAAGAAGAACTAAATATATAAAGTAAATGTGGGACTAGCTCTATAAGAAAAATTATTGTGAAATTAAAAAAAAGCCATTTAGACATTTATGGAGATGTAATGTCAATTAAGCTTTTTATAACACATCTATTTAAGCAATATACATTTGTATAATGTTTCTAGAAGGAAAAAGATCCATTCTTCTGGGTCCTGGTCTGGGAATCCCCTTCTTTTATTCATTCAGGAATTATATTGAAAACTGCATATTTGAAGGGCTTTGTGTTAGCTAATGCATGGATCAGGACTGCTTAAAACAGAACCTTCAATTTTAAATTTTCCTCTAATCCAGGGCTCAGCCAACTTTTTCTATAAAAGGCCTCCCAATAATTATTTTAGGTTTGGTGATACATGTGGTCTCTGAACTACCTCAGCTCTTTCATTGTGACACACAGTCATATTCCATTGCTTTCACATAAATAAGTGACAGTGGCAGTGTTTCAAACAAAATTTTTTAAACAAAACAAAACCACATTTGGACTTTGAGCCATAATTTCCCAACCCATGATTGGCATTCTCCTTACAAGATAATCTTTATATCTCAAATGTTCTTTCTTTATAAGGAAGTGTAAAAAAATGAGCTTAGAGCAGAGAAATATTAATACAAATATAGTTTTATTTAATTTTTTTTCAGTAAATTTTGAATATTGAAATAAGTTTTTTAATCCCCATAGTTCTAAGTATTTGCTAAGCTATTGGTACTTGGACAGGATTTTTTTGTGCAGCTGATTTATTAAATGTGTACATTTGAAATGAAAATGATGTTCCATGGCTTTGTTATAACATGGGTTATAACAGCCCTACAACAGTCCCAATGGACACTGGACATGAACAGACAGTTTTCTAGGGAAAATACACAAATCTGCAAGAAAAAATACTCAACATATGGCTCATGCTGTGTGTGTTCTGACATAAGTACTTAGTGATCTGTGAGTAGTGTGTTGTAGAAATAGCTCTTATATGAACAAATTAAAGTATGTTTAGGCAACTTCTGTATTTGCTGCTATCATAGTTTTATTAAGAAAAGTGCAGTTATCTCAGGTGGTTAGTAGTTTCCTTGATATGTATCTCATTAATAATGTTTGTAGTGGATGTTTATTCTAATAGCCAGAGCTGAATGTTCAGGTAAGAATAGCATAGATAAGGTGTAATGAGATGCTAAACTAGAATAGTCATACATGGTAAGAGGAATATTAAAGAGGTTTCAGATACTTGAATAATTTTCAGTGAACTAAAAACTATATACAATTTAGGAACAGAATGAATAAATCAAATTATGATCAACTAGCTATTGCATATACTACTTCCATTTAGATTTGTTCAATTAATTCTTTTTACCGTCCCACTTGAGTGAAGAAATAAGACCAGGTATAAATTTCAATTTAACTCTTATTTAAATCTTTTTACAAAGCAGATCGTTCCTTCTCATATATAATATAAAAACTTTAGTGACTCTTAGTATTAAAAAAGATTTCTTCTTCTGTCTTAATTAATTACTAATAAATATTAATTATAGCCAAAACATCATATCTAATATTTACAAACTCACTAGTAATAAAGTGATATCTAGTAATGATTTTTGTCTTATACATGCCAGGCAAGCTCCACTGAGCTATATCACCAGCCCTTGGAAAGTTTTTTTTTTTTTTAAACTTTTGAACTGTTCTGTGGAAACTTAACAGTTTTTGTGGAAGTGCCTGGAAGACCACAATCCAGAAAAGTAAAATATTTGCTTCAAATCATACAATAGTTTGTGGCAAAGTCTATAATGCAACTCTGGTCTTCCCTTTTCTGGCTTTTTACTTTATTGTTCTATGTTCTGTATTCTAGGACTTTTTTTTTTTTTTTGGGTGGGTTGGGTTGGGGGAGTACTGGTGATTGAACTTAAGGGCACTTAACCACTGAACCACATCCCCAGCCTTTTTTTATATTTTATTTAGAGACAGGACCTCAGTGAGTTGCTTAGTGCCTTGCTGTTGCTGAGGCTGGCTTTGAACTTGCAATCCTCCTGCTTCAGTCTCTGGAGCTGTTGGGATTACAGGTGTGTACCACTGCACCTAGCAGACTTGGGCTTTTGAAATTATGTGTAAGGTAGTGATTCCTTCCTGTAATGGAGATTATACTAATTTTGGGATTTAAGAAATGTTTAACTTCATACTTCTGGTGATAACTAAAACCCTTACAGAAAATAGTCCAGAATATGTCATTTGAAGACTTTAACCCTGTTTATTATCGTATTTTCATCAGAACTATGTTGAGGGAGCTAGGCCAGTTTTCTTGCAACTAGGAAGGACATAATAAAACCATGGCTCCAGTGTTTCTTTTTCATCATGGGCAAGAGAGACTAAAATGATTAGAGATCGGTCAGAACCACTGTTTACTGATTTGACACTATATAGTTGATGATATCTGGTGGTTGATTGGTTAAAAAAGAAAGTCATAGAACTT